ACCTTACATGAAAGGATGTTACCAAAAGCAGAAAATGTATCATACAGTGCTTTATTATCAATGGATTTGTCCAAATTTTTAATGAATATGTTGCCCACTCCACTTTTGCGAAGTGATGGATCACGCTGAGACCACATGATGCGTACTGGCTTGCCCTTTATAACATCAAAATTCATGGTGTCCAAAGCACGCTCCGCTGCAAGAAAGACATGTTCAGAGTATTACTTCAAAACATTTATAGGCCACTAAAAATTATATAAATTATTATGGGGAAAGTGGTTGGGCACACAGTCCCTCTACCTCTTTAAATTTCAAGATTGCTGGACCTTACCTCACACTAGTCTAGATTTAAATTGTATAATGCTAAAAAAGACAATTACCAGAAACCTCAAACTTCCCATGTTAACAGATGACATATCACCAATGTATTTCTGAAACATCTTTTCCTTTAACTATCATAAATTTAAAATCTCCTTTTGGTTCCTAGTCAACATAAAATCAAGATACCCCTTCACATACAATTTGCTTAATGAGCAATATAAAAGATATTAAGTAATTGTAAATTATCCAGACTTAAGAGCTTTTAGATTTTAAGCATTTTAACTTCTTCCCTTATTACTTGTCAAAATCAATCTTTTCATTGCTTACCACAGCCAATATTCTACAAAAATTAGTCCATTTAAAAATAAATAGATAAAAGTCCCTGGATTTTGGGAGCTGGGTGATTTCAGTGACTCATGGCACAACTTCCTATTACTATGTAAAAAAAAAAAAAAAAAGAAAGATTATATCCATTCGGATCAAGATTTTAATCAGGCCCTCAAAAATTTAATGTGAGGTTGGGCATACTTAGCTGTATAATGAATACAGAAATTTTGCAGTATCAGGCCTATATAATATTCACAATTCACTCATTAAAGCTTTCTTGACATATAAAACCACTTTTATCTTCAGTCATTGATTTACTTAAGAACTGATCAGTTAATCAATTATTTCTGCACAGTGCTAGAAAATTTCAAAATCTACCCTATGATTTCAGGGTCTATGAAGGATTGAATTATGTGCATCTCTACCATGAAGCACTTATTAAATAATTTGAGACTTTCCATGGAAAAATATATTCTTAAGTAAAAAACATTAGTTCTAAGAGGGAAAAAGCATAGTCCATTTGAAGCCCTGAAACACCAATTTCCAAAAATTCCATGCCAATGTAACTGTAAAGTTATTGAGAGGACAAATTTTCCGGCCACTTCTTTTTATAAATGAAAGCTCCAGTTTCTAGAAGATAGTGACAATCAGCTGTCAGCTCATTATCAACTGACCACACCTACTCAGCTCCCCTAGTTTTTTAGCTGACTTTGCCCGAGCGTCTTTTGAATGAGTCACCTCTTCCTGTAAATTGGAAACTGGTCACTTTCAGGAGCTATTCTACGCGTCCATCAATGTTACAGTAAATAGGTAAAGAGAAAACCACTGAAAAAAGTATTTGGCAAGACGGTAATTTGTACATATAGAAACCAAACAAATCTAATATGAAAAAAATGCTATCTTCTTTTGAGCAGTTACAGAACTGGTCTACTGGTATAGACTGAGAATACATACAGTGTACTGTAACCATGGTAACCTGAAGTTCAACTTTTCAAATCACAAGAAATTTAAAAAATTGGGTTTTGTTTTAAAATTGTTAAGCTTTCTTGGAAAGAATAACAGCCACTTCCAAAAGTTACATTTTATGGTCTTTAGGATTTGTTCAAGTTTTCTGTCAACTTCAGATTATGATTACCTGTCCCAAAGTTATCCTCCCTAATCTTTAGCTTTCATTCAGTGGTAAATCTCATCCAGAGTTGGGAAAAATTGTTATGGAGTGACATTTGGAGCCACTGCTTACAGAGCAAAAGGGCAGGAAACCTGCAGTGCAGTTTTACAACTTCTGGCTCTGTGTCACTCAACAGTAGTATGCCTACCCCAAATCTTGATATTAACTTTACCTACTGAAAAGCTATCATTAAGTAACTTCAGTTCTACTGAACTAGAATTAAGTTCGAGTGAACTTAATTAAAAATTTAAAAGTAAATTCCTTATATTCTATGTTAGTTGACATGTATTCAAGCAGCTTGGGGGAAAAAAGCAAAATTGGGCCATAAAATTGAGTGAATCTGACTTTTGGAAGTCAACTGATCCAAATACAAAAGAAAATCCTGGCAACTCATCACGCCACATATCTGTTTGCCAAATTTTGTTTTTTGTGAACCGTTTAACTTCAAAATAAAAAGATAAGGTTAGCCACATTTTTTCCTCCATGAATTTCAAACTTACTCTGTTATTTTGTTCAATTCCCCATGATGTACGGATTTTCTCGACCACTTTAAAAATTAAAGGAACCTTTACTACTTGAATGCCATTAAGTATAATGGTCCAGTCCACACTACACTCGAAGTTTGCAGCCAAAATTGGTGAATACGTTTTTTTTTAAGGAAAACCTCTCAAAAGCACAGAACTATTTGAGAAGGGAAAATATATTCTGAATTACCAGTATTACGAATCTAATTTGGATAAAAAAACTGAAATAATCTACACTGCCTGAGAAAACAGTGTATTTCAAAAGGGTCATCCTCCACATCCTCTGCTCCCACCACCCTGTTACTATTAGTGAGAAACGCCTGAACTCGGGGAAAACCCCAAATGCGCGTCTCACTGGTAATTTACATTTCTAGAGCCATCGGTTACTGACAAGTTATTAAGAATGCAATCAGAAACCTGAGGACCACCACATCACCAAATTAACTTTATTCTAAGGCCCTGTGGCTCCCCCAGGCGATTGGGCCAGTAGCAGAAACAGGCCTCGGGCCTGTGAGGTTACAGGGTTCAACACGTGGTATTTTTCGAGCACCGAATCGCACTTCCTCCGCGTCCTGGGGCGCCGGCAAGAGCCCGGGGTGGTGCGAGCGCCTCCACCTATTACCAGAGAAAGGGGCTCGGCTCCCGACGCCCCAGAATCCCGCGGCTACTGGCGGGAGCGCGGTGTAAGAACCCAATCTCACCCACCCTCCCGGCGCGTCATCACCCTAAAGTTTGAGAGCGGCTGAGGCCGAGAAAATGGTCGCAGAGGAGGAAGTGGCCAGGCGTGCGGCTGCCGGCAGCGCGGCTCCCCGCGGGCACGGGGAGCAGGGGTCCCGGCGCCTGAGCCTCTCCCCGCCGGCCCTCAGGGGGTGACATGCCCTCCCGCCCCCTTCCCGGGGC